GAATGGCAAAACGTGTGTGTGCTTTACGAATGATCGCTCGAGTTAGAACAGGATGATTGACAACGTTCAGTCCATTGTCTCTTTTCACTATATACAGCGAGTCAAGCACCAGAAAATTACGCATGTACATCCGTCAGGTTATTTGCAAAGAGAAAAAAATTGAACGACTTTAGGCATTAATTTGTTGGATAAAATTAGGTGATTACGCGTTTTCTAAGTTTCTATGTATTTATGTAGATAAATTGGATTCCTTTTATTCGTTTATTTATAACTTAAATGCGTCGAATTAGATAATTTCTGGAATGTTAACAATTTTTACGACCGTTTGAAACAGCACGTAAGTGTAATTAATCGAGAGCATGATCCTGTGAGATAAATATATATATATTATAATCATATATTTTAGTGTATCTATAATGTTTTGATTTTTCGTTACATTTTTTAGAATCTGTGAAATTTTATAGATTTTACAATCCTTAAAAATGATTAGTGATTAATAATTAAATATAATTATAAAATGTAAAACGTAACGATCAATAATAATAAAATTAGTGTCCTTGTTTCCATTATTTTAAATGGAGATATGTAGATATTTTTATGATTGACTGTATTATATTACCAATATAAATAAAATATTTACATTTATTTAAGAAATAAATCTCAATATATTCTAAGTTATGTTTCAAACGGGAATGATGCATTCTATCTAGACTCTATCTAACAGTTAAACAATAAATCTTACACGTTCATTATACATATACAGTATAGATCTGCTTCGATGATTATACAAAATATGGAAGACCTTAGTTTCTTAGGTTAACATGATGAACAGATTTAGTTTAGTGTGTAACTACCTATTCATTCAGCTAACATTTAAGTCAGAGTGTGTACAACGAATTTTTTTTAATCATTCAACTATCAATCTACATGAGCCATTTCTTTTTGTAAGTGGTATAAGTTCATTTATTCTCATTTTATTATCAAGGGTTGACAGTAAAATTTTACAGTTAAACTTCTTTTTACTAATTTATGAGAATATTGTACATTATTCACAGTGACGTTATAAATCAAGGAAAAGAAGACATCTATATGTAACTAAAATTTTAAATCATTACTAACTTTAAGTCATTTTTTTGTTCGAAAAATTGAACTGAGTTCCGCCACTTTCCGAAAGAAAAAAAAAAAAAAAAATGGCTCATGTAACATCACGTTTACTTCAACTAAACAATCAGCTGCGCCATCCAAAACTCTTCGCTATGTTTTCCTTTTAGCATTTAGATCGATCATTCTGTTTCTTTTCGAAAAATCGCCGTACACTGCTCAGAATAGTCGACGATGCTCGTTTGCTTAGGAATTAGAAAAACGACGTGAGGACAGCTGAAACATTTTGAAAATTGGATTACTACTGGTTGTCCGTGCAGCGACGTACCTGCCGACGAATCTCAACCGGGTCATTATTCATCCGCGCTTTATACATTATTTCACACCCAGGCAACCAAGAAGGCTCCTTCCTCTGTTTACGAGCCCTTCAGCGGAAATGGAAAACGTCGGGAATTCGCCCAAGTGCCTCGGAACACAAGACTCACCGGTGCGTCGTGCATGTTCCGCTCACGGCGAAAGCAATCTGCAACGCTCGCGTTGCATCGAGGATAGCTTCTGCCTTCGGCACTTGGCTGCGGGCAGCTGAACCCTTCGCTCTGCTAACAACCAGACGAGGCTAGGGAATTTGACGGGATTTTCCCCCCACGAGTTTCGAAGCGGGAGCGTGCAACTCGGCCGTGACGAACTTTAACCCCTTGCGCTGGCAATTGATCCGCGGACCGTAACGAGTGACCGAACGGTATACAATAATTCGTTGATTTCTTTTTCTTTTGAACCCGTCGATATGACATCACTGGATAGAAATTATTGAGAAGTAATAAATTTATTATTTGTTTCGCCTGGGCTATACTTAAATATACTTAAAACTGAGAAAATATTGCAATTTTGGGACAAAAGATTCTCGACGAGCGTGACTCGTCATTACAGCGCAAGAGGTTAACCACTTGCGCTGGCAACTGATTGCGGACCATAACGAGTGACCGAACCGTATACAGTAATTCATCTGCTTTTTCGAATTCATTGGTATGTCACTGGATAGAAATTACTAAGAAGTAATAAATTTATTATTTGCTTTGCCTATTTTAGTTTAACTTAAATACACTTAATTATTGAGAATAAATTTATTATTTGTTTTGCCTCGGTTACATTTAAATATATTTAAAATGTTGCAGTTTGGGACAAAAGGTTCTCGACGTGCAAAAGCAATTTGATAATAAATTATGACGGCCACTCATTCAACAAGTATTTGCATACTTTCTAGCTCTCTGTCGTTTCTGGAATACCTGCTATAAATGAAATCTGTGAACATATTATATGTGTACACTACTGTCCACTATTGATGTTGAAGAATATAGTATTTTGCAGCGTTTAGTGACGAATAGCATTCAGGCAATCAATTACAAGTTTTGGAAAAATTTCTAGTTTTGGCGGATATTTGCAATTTTGACTAATTTTCTGTTGTTTCTTTAATAAGAGGTTCATTTCATCAGAACGAGAAATCAATTGGAAGAAGTCGTAAAAGTTATGTAGTTCTTGTTACTATAAAGAAAACGTCGCATTAAAAAAGTTATAATAAGCAAAAATAGCCAAAATTAGGAAAAGCCATTAAAGTGCAAGTTTTGTTCAAATTATTTATTAATAATAAATTTATTATTTATTATAATTTTATTCAAGGTATAATTTCATTCAGATTATTCATAGTTATAATTTTGCATTGCATACGTAAAAATATTCTTTCTCACTCATTTCCATTCGTATGAAAACGAAAATTATACATTTAATACTATATTCTTCTTTGTGATATCGATATAGTACCGGTATATATTTCGATAGTTATACCGATATTGTCGTCAAGTAGCTTGAAATAGTGAGAAATGCTTGAAAATATCGGCATAACATTAGTATTAATCCCTTGCGTTGCCAATTGGTCCGCGGACCATAACGAGTGACCGGACCGTATACAATAATATATCGATTTCTTTATCTTTAGAATTCGTCGGTAGGATATCACTGGATAGAAATTTATCAAGAAGTAATAAACTTATCGTTTGTTTCGCCTGGATTACATTTAAATATACTTGAAACTAAGACTGTGCGTGGCACATCATTCCAGCGCAAGAGGTTAAACCTGACACTTTTCGTCACCGCCGATTTCCGATATTCTTTCTCCTTTTTTATCCGCTCTTTCTCTCGTATCATCTTCCCCCCGTTCTCCGTTCTTTTTCTTCCGACGTAGACGTGGCACGAATGCCAAAAATCCACGGGCCACGCGCGTTGTTTCGGCCCTCGTCGTCAGTGACATCTGTGACGCTCGTAACTGAACTTTCGATACAGATTTTTGCGTGACGCGTGCGGACCATTCCGCCTGAATGTATATTTCACTTTCGTTCGAAAAAACGAAAACACAACGTATATCCGTTTGTCCAGTTATCATGGTCGCATTGCCTGTATACAGTGATGAATAAAACTAAACACACGCACGCTAAGAATTTCGATATTTCGTGGAGCATTTGCAAGAGAAAAATATATAGTGTTTCGGGTTTCCCAAAAAAATCCTACGACCGTGTTCATTCTGACAGGTACAGAGTGTTTTTCTTGAATCACTTTTGCACCGCAATTATTAGTAATGCGAACGAAAAATGATCGAGACTTAAAACTTGTAACTTTGTAAAAAAAATTAAAATAACAACTTGATCTTAAACTTAAAATAATAATTAAATAACTTTAATTATAATAACGTCAAACTTGTAATTTCGTAAAAAAAATTATAATAATTTAAAATAATAACTTAAACTTAAATCTAAAATAATAATTAAATAACTTTAATTATAATAACGTTAAACTTGTAACTTCGTAAAAAAATTATAATAATTTAAAATAATAACTTAAACTTGAAATAACTTTAATTATAATAACTTTAAATTTGTAACTTTGTAAAGAAAATTAACTAATAACAATTTACTTGATCTCATTCTAAAACTTCTATTTTGACTTCTTAATTTCATTTTAAAGCTTCTGTTTTGACTGCCTTGAATTGAATGTTCTTCTAATATATTTTAACATCATGGCAAAGTGTTCTTTTCTTTAAAAAAAAAATTGCAAAAGTTCACGCGTGTGTAAGAACATTGGAAAATTTTATGTACAAATAAATCTATCACGATCTTGAAAAATTGAATTTTTCCACCTTACGAACAACTAACAATAAAATTTAACTCTTAGAATTTGCGGTACAATTTTTCCTCGTCATTTTATTGAACTTTGAGAGACAAAAATTGAAAAGAAACTAATGTTTTTTTATGTAATCTTAATGCTCAAAGTTCAATAAAATGGCGAAAAAATTGTACAGCATGTTTATGACAGGTAGTCATTATGGAAGATTATAGTGGATCAGATCGCGAAGAAAATTTTTTAATGTTAATATTTTCAATTTTTTTAACATTTTACAAATTTTTTTATTTTTTCGTAAACAAAAATAATTCATCCATCCGCTACATAATGCAAAACATCTTTGAAAAAAATAAATTTAGGACAGTAGTTTACTCTTTAAAATGTACTTATCTATATGAGATATAGATTATTATATATTTTCTTTTACTAAGTTATAACAGTTTAAAGTATATATTTAATTATACTCATATATGCTTGTCAAAATATATTCGAGTTACTGCAGAATTATTGTAATCACTGAATCTCTGTTTTTCGAATATTTTAATATAGGATGTTCAAACATATACAATATGTTAATGAAATCAAGTAGATGAAAAAAATATGAACTTGCTTTTCTGTTCTTTTGTTAATATTTACACTACTTATGTCGCTAGTTGACATTTGGTGCAATTACATTAAAAGCTTAATATTTTTATTACGTTTTTCTATAATATTTTGCATTTTCATGTTTCATATTTATCTTTAATAACTGACACTTTATAAAATCTATTAGATAAATCTTTTCAATGAGTGTTTTAATTGTTCAAAATTTCAATAATGCTTAAAATCACTAGATGATTATAATTGTTATGATAGTAACTATTTTTTTGTCAATAACTATATAGTTATGATTCAGTTGAATTTAGTGATTCATTTACATTGTAATAATTTAAAAACGTCTAAATTTTTATGCACAGTAGTGTTTGTACATGATACTTTAATAGTTAATAAATTTTTTCTTGCACTTAATAATTTTCTTCTATTTTCCAATTTTACAAAAATATATATATATAAAAGATTAAAAATTAATATAATAGAACTCTGTCTATATGAACTTGCTAGCGTACAAATAGTTTATATAATAGTATAATAAGATTGTACAGCGTAAATAATTAATTCACTTAAACATTTAATTCATACATAATTAATGTTAAAGATGCACTCTTTCAATTTTTTGTTTTACTAGGAGCTGTAAAGATTTAGATAAATAAGAGTCCATTATACTTACATTTGTTAGAACAAAAAATACTAAAATACTTGCAAAAAAAATAAAATCATTCAGCTTGTAGATAATATTTTTAAGCTTACTTTTTAATCGTGAAATTATTAAAAATATATACTATTTATTAACATGAATTGAACGTAATTAAAGTGCAAATTATTTAATGAAAATTAATTGAAAATAATGAAAATTTCAGAATTATTCAAGTATTTACATAAATTATCTTGTTGATATGTAGTAGTTTTTCAGGAATAAATTTTTCGATAGAATGTAAATGCTTCGTTTGGGATATAATTCTTTAATTTATTGTTATTACATTTTGAATTTTCTTTCTTTATATTTCTTTTATCCCTACAAGAGTGAATGTGTGTGCAAATTCTACCAAGACCAAGAGTTATTTAAATAATACTAAATATCATAATTACATATGAACAAAATTAATGACCATTTTTTGCTACCATTTATAAAAGTTATTACTAGACTGCGGATTTTTATGCATTTATGGAAAATTTAGAGAGACGAAATTTTAATATACATATCGAATATATATATCAACAATTCAAAGTATTGTGCTTTTTACAACATTTGGTACGTAAAATAATTTTCTACCCAAATTTAATTATATATGATTTTGCATAAAAGTCCGCAGTTATATCGAAACTTACCTAATTATTATTATTAATAAATTTAATTTAATCCATAAAATGGATCAATAAGCTTAAATTATCAGCATCAAGCGCTACCTCTGAGAGCTTAACAGTTTAATTAAGTATACTAAAACGACTTGTCTCTTTGGAACTTTTATTACACAGATTCTAAAATATCTGTTCCACGAGAATGCGATTCTTAAACGTGACAAGTTCCTCGATCCATAAAAATTCCGCCAATTCCAGAATATTCCTTTCGTATGAAATGTAAATATAAACATTTTTATGGATTTTTTTTTCAAAACGGAAAAAAACCTGTCAGCTGCGAATCCTTGTCATTTTCATATCAAATCCCCAGTTTCAATCGCTATAAACGAAATGATGTTTGCCCGTGTTGTTGGCGTGTTTTTCGACCGAAAGTCGTATTGATACGTGCATCGACATTGAAATTATGAGAATCGACGGCCAGCCGACACGCGTGTCGTTGAAACAACATTGGCCATTTAATGTAAAATAAATAGAAGCGGCACGCGTGTCGCAAATTCACAATAACGTCATAACGAATCGAACGTTGTTGGCCGCTGCTACTTTAATGGCTTTATATTCACGCGGCTGGCAAGCGGCGATAAATTTAAATTGATTTGTATATTTAGAGGGTCGTCGTAAATAATTGGAATTCTACCGACAGGAAGAATGACTGGGTGGCACGGCGCTGGGAAAACCGTAAATCACGATCGATAGGACTTGCACGGTGAAGTTTGTCCGAGCGCGTTAATACACGAGCGTTATCCATTTCGGTGTTGAATTTGAAATCTATTAGTCTTTGTGCCACGTTACGATGAATGAAACAACACGTGTACATGACTATCGCGGACGAGTCAACGTGCTGGAAAATTTCACGAATGAGAAACACGAACGCTGTTAACCTCTAGATAACTGGTCCGCGGACCGTAACGAGTGACCAAACCGTATACAGTAATTCGTCTTCTTTTTCAATTTATCGGTGTATCGCTGGATAAAAATTACTAAGAAGTAATAAATTTATTAGTTGTTTTGCCTGGGTTGTATTTCAATATACTTAAAAACTGAGAAAATATTGCAATTTTGGATCAAATATTCTCGACGTGCGTCATTCCAGCGCAAGAGGTTAACACTTCCGTGAATTCGGATTGAATCGAAGATGAAATTTTTGCTTATGCATGTAAATGTATAATCTAGTTGCGCCTGCGATCTTCTCAAAATTTCGACAGTTTCATAGTGGTGTATTTTAGTAGTTTAATGGTTTAAAATTTGACACGAGTCAAGTTTTAGTGTTAAATTTAGTGTTAAATTTTAGTAGCTTAACCACTCGTGCTGGCAACTGATTGCGGACCATAACGAGTGACCGAACCCGTATACAATAATTCGTCGCTTTCTTTTTGAACTGGTCGGTGTGATATCACTGGATAGAAATTATTGAGAAGTAATAAATTTGTTATTTGTTTTGTCTATTTTATTTTACTTAAATATACTTGAAACTGAGAAAATACTATAATTTTGGAACAAAAAATTCTCGACGTGCGTGGCACGTTGTTCCAGCGCAAGAGGTTAAAATTTGACACGAGTCAAGTTTTGCTTTATTCACTAAAAATATCGAATGAGGAGCAGTGTAACAAATTTTGAATAGTTGTAACAAATATTCATCTTTGAAGATATACTTTATATTTTTATTCAGGAATATATTCGGTATATTTGTTCAATATATTTCGTTACATTTATTCTTGCGATATGTTATCCTCTATAAACCTCTAGTAAATAAACCAGTTACTTTATTATTGATTATAAGGTTACAAACATGTTATAGGATTAAATACTCAAAGAATTCATCGTATGGAACTTCATGCGCGCTTCGTTTGAGAAATTTTTTTTTTTTCATAAAACTGATATGATCTATCTCTCCTAAAAGAAATGGGATTTTTTATTTTTAAATTTTAATCATGCAGTATTAGAAGCCGTAACAATTTAAGTTTTGCATTATTTAATTTTGGAATTTTTCATTTAACGTAATTTCATTGTTACTCTTTGTCAGGAAAATTAAATGCTCAAAATTTATGATCTAACATAAATTGAATTTGAAAGCTCTGTGCAATATTTATCATTCTGCACCACTTTCTTCCATAATCTTTCAACATTTAAAGTACACCTTTGTTTCTATTTTACATTGACTTCTGATGGAATATTTGAAATCTACATGTATTAAAATGATGTAAAGATTATAGAATCATACCATATTATTAACTCAATTTCGATAAAAATGTAATATTTTTTATTCGAGATATCTATTTAATTATATTTAATGGTATCTATAACTCACTGATACCATTTGAAGGTTAACTATTAGTTATTGTCATAATACTAATCTGTATTTTAAATTATAGATGTTAATATATTGTTACTATTTTTTGTTATAATTTTTTAAATAAATACAGTAGTTCTAAGCCTTTTGGACGAGAGCGCATATTGCATTAAATGTTTCTAATCGTCTATAGGACGAATGTATCACGTGTATGTGATTTTAATTACTATTGTTACTAAATTATTTTGATTCACTTTTTTAGTTTTTCTGACTGTACCTTTCTTTCATAACCATAATCAGGAATACAATAATGTACAAGATAATTTTTATTTAGACACTGTGTGTAGAGTTATAGTACGAATAATTGAACGATTCTTTAATATAAAGAAAACTAAATTTTTAGAAAAATATATAATAAAAAGGTATGACATAAAGATATAATACAATGACGAAAGATTGAGAATATTTAATTTTAGCGAGACACATCGAAAAAAGTTTCAAAAGTAAAATATATACTTTTAAATGTTGAAAGTACACATACAAATTTCAAAGTTGATGTATATTTATTCTCTGTTTAGGGGGATGTAAATAAATTTTCAATTTGTAAGGAAAAAAAGAAATAGTATTCAAACAGAAAAAAAATTAGTCAAACTAGATTAATACTCGAAATTAATGATATGGCTAAAATTTCTTTTCACAATAGTGGTTATTCTTAAATAATTATCATGTGGTTGCGTTTCAATTCGTACAACTATACTAATGTTTCAATCTAGAGATACATCGTTAGAAATCTTTAATAACAAAAAAATGCATCACATCTGAATACAGATTATAAATTTAGGTAAATTAAAAATGTTTATACTAATAATAAAAATTATTTATAATTTTATTAATTTTGTTATTGTTAATTATTATGTTATTTTATATTAATATAATATATAATTATTAAATAAAAGTACTACACCATTTAAAATATATAATATTATTACATCATTTAAAAAAGATAAGATGAAATGTTTTGTATGTGTCATAAAATCCTCATTGAAAGATATATCTAAATAATTTTGTTTAGAATAATAGAATAATATAAAATGTGACACATAATTATGCACAATGTGTAAATATAATAAATAACACGTTCAATATAAATATTTCAATGCCGTATTATCAGATTTCACAATTAACGTGAAAAGAATGATTTATTGGCTATTTATTTTTTAATCTCTCCGAGACTTTCGATCGACTTTTATTCGCTCATTCTTAAACATGAATTATTATAACTTATTTTCTCGAAAGCGCAGTCTGTCGTAAAAAGATTTTGCCTTCTTCTACTCATTTGTACGTGAAAAGTCGCCTCACCTTGCAATTATGCAAGGGATTGCGGTGCATCCAATAACGGAGGACAATTACACACCTCTTATAATTTTAGTTCTTCCTTCTCGCGTCGAAAGAAGCCGAGTTACAAAGCTTCTACCGTTTCTATCTGCTAACTTCAACGTTCCACTCGTGACGACTTGCGACACGTTGTAATTTCTTTTGCCTCTTTGACATTTGAAAGAGTAATCTGCACGTAAGAGACTAATCTGGATACATCCACGTGCAGAGAGCTATCGTCCGCGTTTCTTGGGTGCAATATTATCCTGGAATTAACATCGTGCGACTTGGCTGGTAGATCAGTGACGAATTAAGAAGGCCATTAGCAGAACAGTGACTTTTAATAATGATGGTTTTATTCGCCTTTGTGAGATCAATTTATTTCGATATACCGAGTAGCGCGACTCTACGAATGACAGTGAAAAAATTGTCGATAATTTCAACTGATATAATTTCGTAAGGATCCATTTGATCTTATCTTAAACCGTGATCCCTCTACTTTGACAATAGTGAGTTCGTTTCCCTCCTAAAACCGGAGAAGTGAAGATAATATTAACCATTTGCCCTGGCAGCTGATTGCGGACCATAACGAGTGACCGTATACAATAATTTGTCGCTTCCTTTCTGAACTCTTCGCTGGATAGAAATTACTGAGAAGTAATAAATTTATTATTTGTTTTGCCTGGGTTATACTTGAATATACTTAAAATTGAGAAAATATTGCAATTTTGAATAAAAAAATAAAAAAACTTAAATATATACGTTTGAATAAAAAAATTCTCGACGTGCGTGGAAACGTCATTCGTAGCGCGAGAGGTTAAAATTTTCGAGTCTCCAATGAAGGATTTTTAATTAGAAAAAAGATCTGTGTTTGATAAGCATTTACCTCAGAATCGTCGAATTTGTTCAAAATTGCAATTGAATTACTTGAATTACAATTACATCGTATTTCATTATATTGTCTGAATATTAATGGATGTTACTGTACCTGTATGAAAATGGATTCAGTTGCCGATTCCAGTTACGTTCAATTAACAATTTAGCTGTGAATGACGAATATATAGTACAGTCGTCATAAAGAAATAGCAGTTTTTTGTACAACAACGAAAATAAAACATATCTGTAAATCTTAGACGTTTTAAAATATTTTGAAACTACACTTTTCACATCATTTCGAAACATTTTCTTGCTATTGATATCAATTAATTAATTAATATTCATTAAATCAAACAATAAAATTATCGATTTAAAGAAACTAGAGTTATTTCCTTATAATTTAATGCAATTTTACAGCAGCTGCGCATGCTCTGTGTTTCGTATAATCGTCATCGTGTCGTTTAAAAACAGTTAGAAGCACCACAGTTAAAAGATTAAGAATTCGTTGCGTTTCATGTGAGAGGTTAGGCACAACTCGCTGCAGTGTGTCTGTATTATAAATTAACGTAACGTTGCCGCGTTGAGATGGGTTGAGACTCGTAGTTTAGTTTAGTTTGGTTGAGAGTTAGGTCGAATCCGACGTTTTATTTTGAAGAGTGACTGACGGAGTCTCTCTTGAAGCAGTGAGTGTTGACGAGAGTGTTGAAGCAGCGAGAGTTCCTAAATGATGGCTTGACGAGAGTGGTTTGAAATTTTCCTTTTATAGTGAAAGAAGAGCTGGTTGCAGCCAATCGCATTCGATTGTTTTTCCAAATTACCCAGGACCACTGTTATTCTGCAGATGGTTTGCAGATGGTAAGGTCTTCGAATTGATAATAGACATTTTGGAAATACGAACACTTTACAATTAGACAAGATAGATTCGTGTTTTCCGTGGAACCCAACAATTTATAGGCCAAGATCTATACATAATATAGGCAATAAGTCCATAAGTCTCTTTACAATTTCAAAAATTTATTACGAAGGCAAATGAAAAGACAGATAAGTGGAAATTATTACAAAATGAGACGTATTTATTTAAGTTATTTTTCTGCCTCATTTAATACACTTTTGTATGGGCACCATTAGTTAGTGGTAATCTGCTTTAGATTAGTGATGTCTCATACTTTTGTTCAAGACACGATATCTTTAACGTAACGCCATGTGGGTGTTCATAAAGTCTCTTTACAATTTCAGCAATTTATTACAAAGGCAATTGATAAACTATCTTCATTAGATTTGTTCTATGTACTCAGTGATTATCAAGGTTTTTATCACATTGCATTTCATGTACCTTGTTGATAAATAAGATACTGTTAAATGAATTGCTTACAAACTGGCTACTCCTCAAGAAAAGGCACAGTGTGTACCATGGTTTATTGAAATCAAATCGGTTCTGCAGACTCGGCGAAACTTCAGAACCAAGTATGAAAAAGATCCTCCGTCACGTCCATCAATTCGTGTATGGCACAAGAAATTTATGGAGACAGAGACAGTATTCGATAAAGGGAGAAGTGGACAATCTGAGGAAAACATCGATCGTGTAAAAAAAATCGAGTACAGTTTTGATATGCTTCGTGCAACTAATGGTGCCCATGTAGAGGTGTATTAAATGAGGCGAAAGAAATTTAAATATATACCTTTCATTTTGTAGTAATTTCCACTTATCTGCCTTTCATTTGCCTTTGTAGTAAATTTTTTTTGAAATTGTAAAGAGACTTTATGGACACCCTGTATTTTTTCTCTACTCTAATGTCGATAGCAACGAAGAATAATTCACGTGAAATCTACAGTTAACGGTTCAGTCACGCTCTCCATAATTCCCTCCGACGTGACATGGTGCACGGTCGTATGAAAATCGTCTGTCCACGATAAACCCGTAAACGCTGGCCAACAGTCCATTAAAAGCGGATGGCCATTAAAAATTAGCCGGGCAGGTAAGCGCAATAAAATAATTCGCGCGTGGTGCCGCGCGCAGGATGTGGTAACCGCTTAAGCAAATTCATTCAAATTGCGGAAATATGAGAGTTTTAAGATTGCAAATTGCATTAAGCGGTGATTACTGGGCTCGCCACGGTGGAATGACGCTAAACGGCTGTTTGTAGTTGCCCCACCTGTTTTTCAGAGCACAGGCTATTGCTGATGCAAATAAGGAGATACGCGGTACCAATTGTTCAAACAACTTTCAGTGGCCATTAGCGCCGCGATTTCTCTCTCTCTCTCTCTCTCTCTCTCTCTCTCTCTCTCTCTCTCTCTCTCTCTGCGTTGAAATCTCGCGGCTGCTTTCACGATTTTATCGGGCGCTGTTCTGGAAGTTTCTGCGGCCAAGTGGGAATCGAAAGGCAATCGCGCGTTCTCGCCGTGCACTTTTCAACTGCCTTTCATCGTGTTTGTTCAACTGCTCGTTCGAAAAATGCACGACGCGGGCCACCGCGGACAAATGTTTGGGATAGCCGGGATGCCACGCGAAAAGTTCGACGATCGGTATCCGTTTCACTTGTCTCTTAAATGGTTGAACGTAACGACGAGCCGGTGGTAAGACGAGTTTTCAACATATGCATCTGCAAACATTTCCAACAGTTGTCCGATAACACGGGTCGTTGTGTTTAACCATTTGCCCTGGCAACTGCGGACCATAAAGAGTGACCGAACCCGTATACAATAATTCGTCGCTTTCTTTTTGAACTGGTCGGTGTAATATCACTGGATAGAAATTATTGAGAAGTAATAAATTTGTTATTTGTTTTGTCTATTTTATTTTAGTTAAATATACTTGAAACTGAGAAAATACTATAATTTTGGAACAAAAAGTTCTCGACGTGCGTGGCACGTTGTTGCAGCGCAAGAGGTTAAAATTTGACACGAGTCAAGTTTTGCTTTATTCACTAAAAATGTCGAATGAGGAGCAGTGTAACAAATTTTGAATAGTTGTAACAAATATTCATGTTTAAAGATGTACTTTATATTTTTATTCAGGAATATTTATTCGGTATATTTGTTCAATATATTTCGTTACATTTATTCTTGCGATATGTTATCCTCTATAAACCTCTAGTAAATAAACCAGTTTCTTTATTATTGATTATAAGATTACAAACATGTTATAGGATTAAATACTTAAAGAATTCATCGTATGGAACTTCATGCGCGCTTCGTTTGAGAATTTTTTTTTTTTTCATGAAACTGATAGGATCTATCTCTCCTAAAAGAGATGGAATTTTTTATTTTTAAATTTTAATTGACATCATGCAGTATTAGAAGCCGTAACAATTAAAGTTTTGCATTATTTAATTTTGGAATTTTTCATTTAACGTAATTTCATTGTTACTCTTTGTCAGGAAAACTGTGGAATACAAATAAAAATTAAATACTCAAAATTTTTATGCTCTAACATAAATTGAATTTGAAAGCTCCATGTAATATTTATCATTCTGCACCACCTTCTTCCATAATCTTTCAACATTTAAAGTACACCTTTTTTTCTATTTTACATTGACTTCTGATGGAATATTTGAAATCTACATGTATTAAAATGAAATTTATTAAATTTATATCAATTTATTAAATTTATTACAAAGTAATATAGAAATTATTGAGAAGTAATAAATTTATTATTTGTTTTGCCTGTGTTATACTTAAATATACTTAAAACTGAGAAAATGTTGCAATTTTGAATAAAAAAATTCTCGACGTGCGTCATTCCAGCGTAAGAGGTTAAAGTGAATTATCTTCCTAAATTTGTTAGAGCAAAAAAATGTTTCGTAGTAAAACTCACTTCGTTTCGAAGGGGACATGTTGTAGTTTATATTTGTTTCATTAATTTTTATTATTTTTTTTATTACTTTTAAATTAAATAAATCTGTTATAATTATTGAAATATTAAATTTGGAGGAACAAAGAAGAATTCCATTTGAATGTGGTTTTAATCCAATTCCAAAATTTTAGTTATCATTTTTAATAACATTTTTCTTAATCAGATTGTTGTTTTTATGCTTTGATATTGAAATTACAATATTAAACCCAATAATTCTTTTTATATATTTATATTAATTTTATCATTTTCATTTAATTTGGATATCGATATTGATTATATTAATTAATATTGCCACAAATCTTATTTAGGTGAACGTGTCTCCGAAATTTCAAAATGATCTTTGTTTTAATGTACAAATATTTCCAACAATTAAACTATACTGATACAGGTGTCCCGTTTGATGTGAATAACGTGGTTATTTCCTAAATTATTAATTATAAGAGAAAATGTTTCAAAGAAATCTTACTTCGTTTTGAAGGGCGCATTCTTATCTAGATGGACCAAAATTTCAGGATGATCTTTGCTTTAATCTATAAATATTTCTAACAATTAACACTGTATCCGATAATATAAATTGTTTAAAGTGAACCACGCAATTACTATATCATTATAGCAAAAAATATTTCAAAACTTATTTTGTCTCGAAGAGGACATTTTATAATAGCCATTTTTAGTCTCATCCAACAAGCAGACGTGTCTTCGAGATTTTAGAATAACTTTTAAATGTATAATTATATTTTTATTTATTACTTTTTTTGTTGTATGTATAATTATATTTATATTAAGATGGACGTTCCATGACGAATTCATCGATCCAAATGTGTTAGTATTCCAAAATCATTCAAGATCGTTACCATTATTCACACTGATGAAGAAATTATTTCTTATCTTCGATATTCGCAATGATGATTTTGTCTGTGAAAATGACTGCGTTTTGTTCTCTCTTAATAATGAATTTCACTTTGAGTCGTCACGTGCGGGCAATTCGATGCAACGGTCTTGTAATTCGCCTATTCTTCTCGCAAAACTCAAATCATATAAAAATAAATTTGCTTGACGTATATATAATAAATAAATAAGTAATAAATAAATTTGTTCGACTCATAATGCCATCGTGTTTTAAATTGATCGAAACCTCTTCTTTTACAAAAAGAAATTACTTATTATCATATTACGACTCCTTTTCTAACGAATAATTTTCGTTAACAAAATTTTTTTATACAATAAGAAGCATAACCGAGCACATAATGATGAACTGCTATAACTTCACGGAAGAAAAACATACAACAATTTACTTGGTTTATAAAGGTGAAACTTTTATTTTTACTACCCTAAATTCGTTTTTTATATCATGTACTACTACCCCTAAAGATGTTTTTATATCATGTTCTTATATCGGGTGAGAAAATAAGGGTATATTTGTTCTCGAAAATTGTGAAAATTCAAACATCTGTAAAAAAATTTCCTGATCCACTATAGTCTTGGAAATTGAAATTTTCTTTTTACAACTTCTCTGTAAAACTTTTTCTCTCATTTTATTGAACTTTGAGAATTAAGATTAAATGAAGAAATATTAGTCAATTTTTCTCTTTCAAAGTTCAATAAAATGAGAAAGATTGTACAACAAATTGTGTGAACTTTCACAAAGTTTTTTAAAGAAAAAAACTTTACATGCGCGTGAACTTTTGCAATTTAAGAAAAAAAAGAACACTTTTACATTTGCTACATGATGTTAAAATATCTTGAAAAAAAAAAAAAAAATCGAATTGAGGGCAGTCAAAATAGAAGATTCAAAATGAGATAAAGTAGTTAAAATAGAAGTTTTAGAATGAGATCAAGTAGATTGTTATACAATTTTTCTTTACAAAGTTACAACAGTTAAGTATCGATAATTTTTCATTTAAATTAAATTAGATTAAATTAATTATATTAATTGTATATTATTAAATTAATTGTAGCGTCCAGCTGATATCACGAAAAAATTTATATATTAAAAATTTATTAATTTGCCACAACAGTAAAATTTTTTTGCAAAGCCGAAACTTCGTACAAAACTACACATTTTCCTCCATATTTTTTTGATATTCTATATCAAAATATTATTTATTTTAAAAATTCCATACGTGTGTTCAGTTTATCAACGAAGATAATAATTATTTAATCCTTTGCGATAAACTTCTTTTGTACCATCAACCAGCAATTTATTTGTTTTTACGCAGACGACGTAACATAGCAAAAACTAAAAATAATCATCCTAATAGTATTTCAAACGAAATTTCGTTAATAATATGTGATATCGTTTAAAGTTAAGGCAATTAAAATACAAGTATAATATACTACTAGAGTTAATTACACATAGTCTCAGTCTTTGGAAAAATGATATCCTCCGTCATTTTTGAAACTTTCGTAAGAAGCAATAAGAAGTCCAGGTCATACGAATTATTGAATGTCAATTGACTCAGGACTGTCTTCAGAAATTTCTTCTTCTGAAATAATTTCATTCTTCCTAATACTATTATACATCATATATAAACACCAAATCTGTACGTTTGTTATAATTATCAGCAAATTAGAAAAAGAGAAAGTTCGAGTTGTTGGCTAGATTTAAGTACGATGCCCCGTCAGAATGGACAGTCGGCTCTGTCTGGATATACACTCTGTATATTTCGTAATAAATTCGGAGCATTTGCAACAGTTCATTATTCAAGACAGTTCATTCTTCAGATTATTCAAATAATTGAATATAAAAATACTTCTTTTTGTATAAATGATAGAATTTATGGATCAATTTTTTTTTTTTTTTCATCAACAGAAATTCATGGAATTCATGTATTAATTGGAACATTAATATTAATTATCTCATCGACTATTTAATTTACATTTTTCATTAACTCATCATGTTAATTTACATTCGACTATTTAATTTACATGTTTCATTAATTCATCATGTTAATTTTGAGTCATCAATTTGATATTGATATTTTGTAGATGTTATTTGATTATTTTTATATATATTTTATTATATATTAATTTAAACCTATAATATATATATATATATATAATATAAATATTACATTTAATTTACAATTAAAAAATTTATTTATTTAATTATAATATATAATATTTATATATATATTATTTATTATATTAATTCCAATAATTATTTTTAATTCAAGTAAATTTTCTCAATACATCAAAATTTATATATATATAATATATATATAATATTTACATTAATATTTATATTAATTTATAAATAAAAATTTATAAATTATATATATTTATGTATATATTATTTATTATATTAATTTCAATAATTATTTTTATTTTAAATAAATTTTTCTCAATAAATAGAAATTTATATATATATATTTATAAATAATAATTTATATATTATAATAATAATTATATATATTTATAAATAAAAATTTATATATTATTTATTATGTTAATTTCAATAATTATTTTTAATTTAAATAAATTTTTCTCAATAAATAAAAATTTATACATATATATTATATATATAATATTTATCTATTTATAAATAATAGTTTATATATTACAATAATAATTATATACATTTATAAATGAGAATTTATATATTATTTATCATATTAATTTCAATAATTATTTTTAATTTAAATAAATTTTTCTCAGTAGCTAAAAGAACGCGTGTCTTGGAGAACTGGGCGGAAAGAAAGTGGCGCGTGCGCCGGTGTACGAACACCAAGCAGGGAAGAAATTATGCCCGCGGTTTACATCCTCGTGAACGTTTTTAATCTCGTAGTGTCAGCGGCAGTTCCCACAACGCGAAATTAAGTGCGCTCGTTAGCAAGCCGATGTTTGCTAATGTGAGAAAGATTCGAGCTTGTTTCCGGTTCTTATCTTTTTCTACTCGAGCGCCACGGCGTTTCACCATTAATTCGCAATTTCGCCAACTGGTCGTGCGTAGACCGCTGAACGCGCGACATTCATGCGGCGCTTCCCACAGAAACGGATACGGAAACGGAAACGTATGAAGCGCCGCGAAACGAGCTAAAACTTGCAGATTGTAACTGTCAGTTGGTATCTTTTTGTTTTATTGCCGTGGTGGAACGTCGTTGTTGGTGTTTTTTTTATTTTGGAAGCCTTACTGTACGAGACATTATCGTTGCTCAATAATGTAATGTGGCAGCGTCGATAGACGAAAGTGTCTGATTGATGAAATTTTAGAAAAACAAAGCAACTATTCTAGAGATATAATATAAATAATAATGTTTATTTAATAACAGTAGTGATAATAGAACAACAAATAATTAAACAAGACAAATAACATTCAAACAACACAAGTTAACAACTCAAATAAACACTTTTAACAAAACAATCGACACAGCTCTTTGTCAACGCTTTCTCACGACTCTCACGACTCGCTCAACTCTCCTCTTTTCAAAAGGAATAGCACCCTTACGTGCTTCTCGCATCACGTTCACATTTTATCGTATTTCTGTGATCAGGCCATCTGTTATAATTAAACATAACTAAAAATATAACTACAGATTAATTATAATAACCGATACTACACTATTTTTTTTTTTTTTTGTTTAATATTAAGTTGCGTGTATCCGATTAAAGTTTAAGAGAATTGTCAGCTTCTTTTGGTATTTGGAAATGAATGTAATGGTAAGTTTTGATCTTCAAAAACTTAGGAATTGTGTCTTTTTTAGTTGCTAAATAACCTGTTCTTTCGAAAATTAGTAATCATAGAGTTTCATTTCTTTAGCGTTTTAAATTATTCCTTTTCTAAATATCTTTTCAGCATGGCAATAAAAAAGAAGTATTTTCATTACTATGGAAAAATCATTCATAGACAGAATGTTGATTTATCGCCGAGTCAAACATAATAATTTTGTTTTTTGATAAAATTTTGTGTCTTTTAATATATAGTCAGTTCTTTTTATTATAGTAAATTACGTGAAAGACATCCGCTACGTATAATAACACATATAAAAAAGATTAAAAATATAAGAAAAAGCATCTGTTCGAATAACACAATGTCCAAATAACAGAATATTCAAATGTAGAAAGTTCTACGAAAGTTCCAAATACGAGGTAACAAAAAGAAAAAATATATTTGAAAAATGATGAATCGAATAATATTTTATTGAGCTAGATTATTAATACGAGCCAGTTATTTTACTT